TGCATTCCATCAGTTATATCAGAAGAAAAATATTAATGTGTACTACTCAAGTGTATTAGCAGAATTAGCAACATGAATTAGCAGACATTGGTGTAATCCAATGCTTGCATAAGTGTATGAAGATAAAACCTAATAGCATTTTTTGGGAATGACTTTTATTGAAAAAAATGATGTCTTCATACTTGAGGTTCATTAGCTACTTATGGAGAGCTAGATGTAATAAAAAACACCAATGTTCGAGAACTGCTATGAAATGTCAATATTATTTTATATGTTTGGCATTTGTTTTAAAAATGAATAACATTGTTGAGAAGACTATTTCAGGTATTGAGTAGTATATATTTATATTTTTCTTCTCTTATAACTGATGGAATGGGAGAAGATATTTGCAAACCATATATGTGATAAGGCTTAAATAACCAAATATAAGGAACTCAAACAATTCAGTAACACAAAAGCAATGAACCTTATAGCAGAATGGGCAGAATTATAAATAGATGATTTCTAAAGCAAGCAAGTATTAAAACACACTGGGATATCACTTCATACCTGTTGGAATGCATATATATACATATATATAAAGTGTGTCTAAGATCTATATATGTATCTCTCTATATAACTATAGATAGATATATTTTTATTTCTAGATATTGATACCTACCAAAACTGAGTGTAGTATCTTAGATACTACAAGTTTACTATCAACTATCTGAGATACTTGAAAGGCTGAGAATAAGAGGATTGTAGTTTAAGAGCAGCCTGAGAAGAAAAGTTTGAGACATCCCCTTTCCAAACTATATTTGATTACAACATGGTAACACTTCATGCTTGTTAGAAAAAAGAAAAATAGACACAGTGGCTCATACCTGGAGGAACATTGTTTACCAGCCCAGACAAAAACTTCATGACACTCCGTCTCAACCAGTGAAATGTTGGATGCATTGGTGTGTGTCTGCTATCCTAGGTATTTTGGAAGTTTAATAGGAAGATCCAGTCCAAACCTGTCTGAACCAAAATATGAGATCCTATTATAAAAATAACTAAGGCATAAATGATGTTTCTCTTCAGTAAGACTTCCAATATCTTTGCTTGGATTTTAATGACCTATAATGATGTATAAAACTATCAATTTTATTAGGTACCTTTTTGAATTATGAAATTTCCTTTATTGCAAAGATACCTAGGACTAGTCCAAATTCTATGCTTTCTTTTGAGGACTGAGTACAGTGGCAAGTGTCCTTTGGGCAGTGATTGTTTGATTAGTGTTTATCTCTTATCTAGACTTCATATTTAATGAAAAAAGATATTGTGTCTGTATTTGTCTTTATAGCCCATCATCAACTCCACCACTTGGCATATACTAGACATTCAATAAATATGTCAGAGTGTGGTTGGGAGGAATTTTCTTATGCAGAGTATTCTACAAACCTTCAAATCCTTTTAACCATAGAATTTATAGATAGCCTTTATAGGGTGTATATCAATTAGATATAAGGCAATCATTGCCTATAATCTTAACTTGCACAGAATAGATCCTTTAAAACAGTTAACTGTTCCAGAACTACTTTAATGATAGCTTTGTAACTGAAATCAAAAGCTGCCCCAAATTCCAGTTTCTTTTACCTTTCATTTTGCTGTGGTGTGACTCTGTTTCCTTTTCTTTCCTTTACTCTCACTTCTTAACTGTATACTCTAATATATAAATCATTTGTATAAACTCTCCAACCTCTGAAACTAAATGGGTAGGATAGTACAAAACATTTATACAAAAACATTTATGGGAGAGACTGGCCTCCTATTATTTATACATTATCTTTTATGGATTTAAATTTTCATTGGAATTTGTTTATTTACATTCTGCAGCTATGACTTTATTATTGCATTTTATTATGTTAGATTATTTTTAGCAGCCTTCTTAAAGTAATTTTTCTTTTCTTTCTTTTTTTTTTTTTTTTTTTTTTGGTCGTGGGGCTTGAACTTGGCCTGAACGCTGTCCCTCAGCATTTCAGCTCATGGCTAGTACTCTACCACTTGAGCTACAGCGCCACTTCTGGTTTTACTGATCTTTTATTGGAGATAAGAGTCTCTCAGAGTTTCCTGCCCGGGCTGGCTTTGAACCACGATCCTCATATCTCAGCATCCTGAGTAGCTAGAATTATAGCCGTGAGCCACCAGCGCCTGGCAATTTTTCATTTTTATTGTGTCTTTCCTCTTCTCTCAAAATAAATCCTGTGTGTGACAGTCTGTAACCATATTGTTAAAGTCAACACTAAAGCTAGTATACAAAGTTAGGCTGTATACCTCTTATTTGTATTATATTTACTGTATTCCTAGTTGTCTCTTCATGGTGACAGTCATAATTATACATGTGTGTATATGTGTGTATGTGTGCGCATGTATAAACTGGTATACTAATACTGGGAATTAAACTCAGAGTCTGGGTACTGTCTTTTAGATTTTCTGCTCAATGCTGTTTCTCTACCACTTGAGCTACAACTCTACTTCTGGCTTTTTGCTGGTTAACTGGAGATGAGTTTCCTGTATTTGTTTTCCCAGGTTGGCTTTGAATCCAAGTCCTCAGATCTCAACCTCCTGAGTAGTTAGGATTACAGGAGTAAGCCTCTGACACTTAGCTTACCAAAATTTTTTAATGTTTGAATTTTTATTGCATAATATACACATTAGCAGGCATTTTTGGTTCTATGGGAAGTATAATTTTATCTTTTTTTCATCCTAGTATGTTGTTCCCGTTTACTACTGCTCCTAAATCTTCTTTTTAATCACTATTGGTGGCTATGTATTGCTAGTAAGTTTCAAGTTCCAGTTCCTGATTCTCTTGTATTATTCCTGCTTAAAATGAATTTCAGAGTTTTAGAAGCCAGTTATACTAACAGAAGAAAAAGTTTTATACATCAGATAAATTTGATAAGAAAGCTGGAAACATCATATTAAAAAAAGGTTGAAGATAACCAGAATATTCCAGAACAAACAAAAAAATCAATTGCAGTTATGACTTATATTAACCCTACGTAAGACATTTTCATTGATTTGAAAGATGGTTAAAGTGGGAGGATCCTGTGAGCCCAGTAGTTTGAGACCAGCTTGGACAACATAGACAGATCCTTCTAAACAAGAAAAAAAGAGAAGCAATAGAGGATGAAAGAGATGATTTTTATTGAATAACCTTTCAGGGTACTGCTGAATTGTTTTGGGGAGCTTGTCTGGGAATCCTTAAGAAATGGGAAGGAAACCTATCCTCTATAACTAGATTTTCTACTGAATATTATGGTATGTTGAAGTACCACAAACCTTCTGCTTCTTTAGATATGTGTGTGGAAAGAATATGGGACTTAGGGGCTGGGAATGTGGTAGAGTGGTAGAGTGCTTGATTAGCACACATAGCCCTGGGTTAGATTCCTCACTACCACATAAACAGAAAAAGCTGCAAGAGGCTCTGTCGCTCACATGGTAGAGTGTGAGAGCCTTGAGCAAAAGGTCAGGGACAGTGTCCAGGCCCTGAGTTCAAGCCCCAGGGCTGACAAAAAACAAACAAACAAGAATATGGGACTTATGAGGAAATTCAAATCCTTACTTTATTATTTAATTTTGGATAGTCACTTTTTTAATTCATCTATTCTTTAAGTATTTTACATATCATTTGAAGATTTCACAGTTCATATGAAGACAATTTGTCCAATATAGCTAGCAGTTGTTAATTTCTCATAATAAATAATAATTTACTGCATTAAACATACTTAATGATCAACTACAGGATGTAGTTTATCTTTGTGACTTTTGACAGTTATCTACTTATAAAATTGCTTTGGCATTTATATGAACATGTTTATGAACAGCAGTTAATAAGCAAGAGGAACACAGTATTTAGTTGGTGAGGGATAAGTCATACAGAAGAACATTTTGTTTATGTTAAATGCTGGAGTAAATGATAAAAGGGATCAAGTAGAGCTTGTTTGGAGGGGAGGCTAAGGATGTCCTTGTAGTTTTCTCAGCTTTAAACAGATAAGTCACTTGTTTCATGGAGTTGTTGTAAGGATTTAATAAAAAAGAAACATATCCAAAGTGAAAAAAGGATGAACAAATGCAGCAGGTATACTCAGTAGACACTATGTTGAAAATGAACTATACAACTTGGGAGGGAGCAGAAGACAAAAACTGGGAGAGAGTTTGAGAAAGCTCTGTACCTTCTACTCTGTTACCTGTCTCTCAAAAATAATGAATGTATTTTAAATATAGGGAAACTCCATGGCTCAGGAGTATGTCTTAAAAATAAACAACTCACTATAAAGCCACGCATCAGAGGCTCATGCGTATAATCCTAGCTACTCTGGAGGCTGAGATCTTGAGGACTGTTGTTCAAAGTCAGCCCGGGCAGGAACATCTGTGAGACTCATCTCCAATTAACCACCAGAAAACAAGAAGTTGCACTGTGGCTCAAGTGGTAGAGCATTAGCTTTGAGCTGAAGAGCTCAGGGACAGCGCCATGCCCCGAGTTCAAAACTGACACTGACAAAACAACAACAACAAAAACCCACTATAAGCTAAAGCCATGTAACTCAAGATTTTTTTTTTAAAGGAGGATAATGTGTAAAACCAAGAATGTAGAGCCTGGGTTCATGATTATTAGCCATAGATTTTTATCTCCTAAAATTAGATGTAATTTCTTGTGTCAAATTTCACAATAGAATTTTGAACTTTTTGTATTTTCATATTTTTCAAACTCTTACTCTTCAAGTAAAAAAAAAAATAGGGTTGGCTATCACTCACATTATTGTGTATTTCAACATTGCTAAAAGTAGAGTGAAATATTTTGCCACAAATAGTATACTAGGTAATAGTATATTTATTAGTCTGATTTAGCCATTCTATACTGCGAACATGTATTTGTAATTATTTGTCAAAACAATTTTAAAGTGAAAAAATTTAGCATGTTTATACATAACAGTTTATTCTAACAGAAAGACTTTTTTTTCTTATTTCAGACAACTTAATGAGACCTCTTTTGAATTATGGTATTGCTTGGTAAGCATATTCCTTTAGTTTTATATTACTTTTCAAAATAACATACAGTAACTTAACACAATTTGTTGTGCTTTGGTTATTGTTGTAGTATGTCTATGGGCTTCCTGGTTGAGGAGACAGCACCAGTGGTTTGGAGAGGCCTTCTGGTAATGTCAGCTGTTGAGAAATTGTTAAGGCAGGTAAGAGCATTGCATTAAATACTGTTTTATTTTGTCAAGGCTGTGGTAAGTTCATTTGATGATTAGAGAATTGCTAAAGTTTTTCCATTTGGGATGTTTTATAAAGGGATTCAGTTGATGGGCTGAGTCAATGGGTACTGTAGCACCTAATGAGTTACGTGGCACCAGCACCAAGTTTCACCCTTACCTGATTTACTCCTGCCCATTGCTTATGAATATTAAAAACTATCTCTTTAAGTCATTAGCCCATTATTAATTGAGTTGTATTTCTTTGAGGGTTTATTTTTTGAGCTGTAAGTATATTTTGAATATTAGACCCTTGTCTGATGTATAGCTGGTAAAAACCTCCCATTCTGTAGGTTTCTATTTAGCTTTTTAGCTATACTTTGCCATGCAGAAACTTATAAGTCAGAAGCAAGCCCATTTATCCAGTATTGCTTTGACTTCTTGTGACTTAGAAAATTTCAACCTGTGCCTAGTAGCCCTAGAGTTCCCCCTAACACTTCCTGTAATATTTCCATGGTATCTGGTATTACATTGAGGTCTTTGATCCATTTGGAATTGATTCTGGTATAGGGTGATATATAAGGATCTAGCTTCAGTTTTCTGCGTGTGTATAGCCAATTCTGCCAGCACCATTTGTTGTTGTTCTTGCCTCCCTTATCAAATACTGGTTGGCTATAGGTCTGTAGGTCATTGCTGGGTCTTTTTATTCTTTTGCATTGATCCTCAAGCCTATTTTTGTGCTAGTATCAAGCTGTTTTCATTACTATGGCTTTGAAATAGAATTTGAGGTTTGGTATTGTTATTCCTCCAACACTGTTCTTCCTGCTAAGGATTGCTTTTGCTGTTTGTTATTTCATATGAATTTTTGGATTGCTCTTTCTACTTCTTTGAAGAATGTTGTTGGGATTTTGATTAAAGTTGCATTGAACTTGTAAATTGCTTTGGGGAGTATTGCCATTTTCACAATGGTAATTCTTCCAATCCAGGAGCATGGAAGGTTTTTCCATTTCCTTAAATCTTCCTTAAATCTTACTACTGGGTTGTAAGGAAGGGGTTACAAATAAATTAACTGAAGTATAATAGACTCTATAGAGAGCACAAGTATAATATAATATATATAGCATATATATATATTATAATAGTATAATTCTTTAAAAAGGCTAAATCAAAGCCCAATCTAATATATAGTATAATTCTTTAAAAAGACTAAATCAAAATAAGTACCAGGAATTGGCTTCTTGCAAGGGTGAAGGATAGGGTCTAGGGGAGGGGGATAGAAGAATGAAGGGGGAAAGAAGGCAAATGCTGCCCTGAATTCATTGTATTATATACCATAGATTTGAGAAATATAAGGGAAAGGATGGGTTGTATGGGGATGGAGATGTGGTTGAAGTGATGACACAGACCAAGATGCATTGAATATATAAATTGCCTTGTTAATTGGCAAAAAATTCAATACATAACCTAAAATTAAGGTAAATAAGGGAAGGGGTGAGGTGGGATGGGAGATGAACATTTTGGAAGGGATGACATTGATTAAGATGAATTGTATTCATAAACTGCTTTGGTGAATGGCAACTGCTTTATACAACTACTTAAAGATAATAAAGATATTAAAAAAAATAGACAAACTCAGTATCTTATTTTATGTTGCTTTGTTGAGTCTGTAAGAGCAAATCTGTTTTATAAGCTACCTTTTTTTTTTGTTGGTCGTGGGGCTTGAACTCTGGGCCTGGCTGCTGCCCCTCAGCTCTTCAGCTCAAGGCTAGAACTCTACCTCTTGAGCCACAGCACCACTTTCAATTTTCTGAGTGGTTTATTGGAGATAAGAGTCTCATGGACTTTCCTGCCTGGGCTGGCTTTGAGCTGTGATCCTTAGATCCCAGCCTCCTGAGTAGCTAGGATTACAGGCATGAGCCACTGTCACCTGGCTTATAAGCTATCTTCCTTAGACTGGTTAATCTCATTGTAGACAATATTGAGGTATAGGAGCAGTTTAGAAATTACTCAGATGTAGAAAAAAATTAAATCTGTTACATAATGATTTCAAAACGTTTTATAAAAGTAAAACTTTATTTTACTCTAAGTATATATAATTATAGTTTCATACATTATATCTGTTCAATAACCTTATTTTTAAGAAAGGAAGAATATACTTGTTTATATAAGCTAAATATATCAGATTGTAAATTTTATTTATAGTTTCCTTGGAATAAATTTTATCTTTTCTCATAAGTGTAAATTTATAATTATGATCTAGGTAAATATTAAGGGTAATTTGTATTTACCCGATCAATTTACAATTACCTCTGATTTGTTGAGATTCTACTTTGAATCTAGAACTCCACCATAGGTTGACAATTCTAGTAGAACATATTTCTATATTCATTTTGAGATGCATCTGTAACAGATGAACTGTGTAATGAACTCTCAAATTCCTCTTTTTTTTTGAGACATAGTCTTGTTATATAATCTAGACTAGTATCACACCCACTGTGTACAAGGAATAATTTAGAACATACCAATACTGAAACCTATTCATTGTATCTGATACCCAAATTTAACTGAATGAGCTTACTGTAAGTCCTGAATTGGCAACCCTAGGTAGAGTGATGAAGAGTCAGGTCAGGAGTAGATAGGCATCATCTAGTAGAGTGAGCTGTGTTGCTTGAAAATAAGAGTTTGAAGTCATACCTAGGGCAGGTTATAGAGCCCAGAATGTAGACATGAGTAAGTAGAATGAGGTGAACATCAGAATTGTTAATAGGAACAGAAATCCTGCTAGGATCATTATAATTAAGTGAAGGAAGATAGTTTGTGGACTACTTTTGCCATCATGTGCAACATCTGAAGGTTAGTTATTTTTTAGGATACAGAGGTAATAATATAAGAAGTGTCTTAGTTTAGCTTTCCAATTTCTAGTATTTTTTCTGCATACCCTACCTTCCAATCTGATCTGCTAGAGAGGAAAAGACTATTGAGTAAATATGGCATATGTTCATGGGTACATTGATACAGCATAGAAAAGCTTGTCAGGACATACAAAATAGAAATTAAACTTTAGGATCTGTTAAGAAAACTATTAGATTTTAATATATTTAGGCAGATAAATGCTAGAATGTCATTTTGAGTGCTGGATTTGTCAATATGCATTTCATTTCCCCAATATATGAAGCAGTTTCTCTTTATTTTTCATTTTTATTTTAATAACTAAAGGCATAAATGTCTAGTATATATCAATCAATGAATAACACTTCCTGAGAAGTATTTTGTTTTCTTCTAAATTCTGTGTGCAACACTGATGTAATTCGTTTAATGTAAACAAGGAAGTCTCCTTAGAATCTTTGAGTTTGGAAATGTGGGATGTTTGAAAAAATAATATTAGTTATTAGAAAAAGAGCTGCAGAAAGGAAAACTTCAAAGGCTAGTCTGATGTGAAACCCTGCTGTGGTCACAGTGTAAACCCTGGAGACCAGGAATCTTGGCTGCAGTTTCAGTGCTTTTAGTTCAATCTCTTGTATTCCCAAATGTAAAGCAGGTGCCAGATTTCTTCTGTAGGGTCTGGTAATGGCATGAAATGAGTTGGTTGTTTCCTAGCAACTAGAGAAGCAATTTCACTTTAGCTGATCCTTCGACAGGAATGAGACAATTTCCCTTGATAGTTGGCATTAGTGATTTCCCTGACAATGGAATTGTACTTTTGAATAAGGAATGTTCTTAGCCTTTTATTTCCTAAGGAATTTTGCTTTTGAGTTGGGCTAAGCTCTGCTTAATCCTGTATCAAATGAAAAAGACAAAAGTTCGAACCTCCTAAGTACCTCTCATGGGAAGAATGGAAGGAGTTTGACACATAGTTTGTCAAATGGCAAATGATTATACAAGAAAATATAATAGTCATTTTCCCTGGTGTTTAGTAGATCAATTAATAACCAGATTCTTTTCTGTATTTAACACCTGTAGTAATAGAGGCTTATTAGGTAATGACTGATGTGTTGTAAATAAATATGTACAAATTTTTTTTTACCAGTACTATTTCAGCATAGTTTATATGAAGCAAAAAACATTTTTTTCGAATAGAGACCTCATTTGATTGTAAACAGTGTTCTTTATCATACTTATTATACTCAAAGATTTTAAACAGGCTCTTAAAGTTTACTTTAAGGTGAATTGTTGAACAATTCATATTTATCCTTAAATATCAGTGTTTGTGAGACACATACATTTAATAGAATCGTATTTTTCAACCCTTGATATTTGACTGTAGTAATTGATATGGAAATCCTGAGACTGTTAAAATATATGGAGGCATGAAAATAGAACCGTAGATGACCTTCTTTGTAATCATTCATTGTTTAAACAGTTTCTAAGGAAATTAATTTTTCCTTTAATATTATATAAGTAATGAAAAGTAGTTTTCTCATCCAGATTTATGGCATAATATATTGTTTTCAAGGTTCTCATGTTTAAGCAAGAAGATAAAATATTAAACAATATTCTTAAGATAACTTAAGTTCTGATATCAGTAAGCAATTTATTACTTTTCACAGATTTGTATTAATTTATAGGTGAAGTCTCCTACTCCCTTTCTCTCCCCCCCCACCACTGGGCTTGAATTCAAGGCCCAGGGGCATTCCCTGAGCTTTTTTAGCTCAAGGCTCATGCTCTACCACCTGAGCCACAGCTCTACTTCCAGCTTTTTGGTTGTTACTTGGAGATAAGAGTCTCATGGACTTTCCTGCCTAGGCTGGCTTTGAACCAGGATCCTCAGATCTCAGCCTCTTGAGAAGTTAGGATTACAGGTGTGAGCTATTAGTGACCATTTTAGGTGAAGTCTTTATTGGGAATTTTGGGCATTTTTTCTCGTTTATTCCCCTTTATGCTTGTGTCTTGAGGTACTTGAGCAAATTGCATATTTTTTAATTTTTTATTATTGTTATTGTAAAGGTGATGTACAGAGGGTTACAGTTACCTAAGTCAGGGAATGAGTGCATTGC